TCTTGTCTGTATTTTCAAAACAACCTTGAAGACTTTTTTTTTTTTTTTACATTTAGGTGCTTGACTCCCTCTGGGTTTACTTCTGCATTTATTCAGTGTCGCAGGGTGATGTCTCATTATGCCTATGTGTGAACTTCGCTCTGGCAAGGAGAGCACATTTAAAGTAGGCTGGGAACTTTTAAAAGACAGGTTTCTGGACCTTGTCCCAGAAATGATGAAATCTCAATCTCTGAGGGAGGTGAGACATCAGGACACTAAGAGCACAACTCCCCCAGGTGGTTCTCTTGCATAGCCCATCTGAGAAGCTCTGGCGCAAGCTCAGGGGAGCGGCAGGCCCCAGGGTCTACTGCACCACTCGCCCTGACTAACGGGACTGGTCCGTGCTCCGCAGAGTGAGTGTAGGTATTCGCAGCAGATGTCCAGCTGTCTCCCATCTTGGCAAACACATGGGCATTATAGTCTGAGATAAGTGACGGGCTGGGGTGGGGGCTCAGGTGACTGAGGGTTTTGCCTACAGATCAGCCGTGGAGTGCAACTGTGCTCTCTGCCGCTTTGCCCTCCAGCCTCCCTCCTCACACGTCCCCTCTGGCAGTTGTGCCATAATCCCCCACACCCCTGGGCCAGCACACTGGCAGCATAATAGCCCGTCCTGCTCCAGTCAGGCCTCTACATTCAACCTCAGCTTGGAGAGAGAGTCATCACGATGCCCCCCTTCCAGGTGGGTCGCCAGGATCCAAGAGGATACCTCAGCTTGGAGAGAGAGACATCACGATGCCCCCCCTTCCAGGTGGGTCGCCAGGATCCAAGAGGATACCTCAGCTTGGAGAGAGAGTCATCACGATGCCCCCCTTCCAGGTGGGTCGCCAGGAGAGGATAACACGGTGCCTGGGCCTTCTCGGGTACCTGGATGCTCTTTGACTTGCCAGAAAGTCACCACAATAGAAAAAGCAAACAGAAGAATATGGAAAAACAAGCGTTCAACTTCCCTGGTGACCAAGGAATCATAGATTAAATGTGAATTACCATCCCTATCCACTTGCTAAAGTCTTTGAAACCTAACATGGGATAGCACGGACCCTTTCTCCACCTTCCCGAGGCGGTGTTTGTGGACGACAACAAACACAAAACCTCCTTGTCCTCAGACTCCACAAGGCAACAGCTGGGGAAAACGAGCCACCCACCGAGCATCCCACAGCCAGCAGCATGAGGCTCCCGAGTGGGACGAGGCCAGAACATCGGCCACCGCCACAGGGAGACACCGGGGTGTGAGCGCCACGACTCTAAAACACACGCAGGACGACGGAGAGGGGGAAATATCGCTGTGGTGTGGCCTGGGAGGCAGATTGTGGCTGCCCCTTTCTCTTTCTATATTCCTCACATTTTCGTTAATGAGGATGCATCATTTAAATATTTTCTTTTTGAAAACATGATAATGTGAAAATCAAACATCACAGCTCTCTCAAGGTGACAAAAGTTTAAGTTTCAGGGACAGATTTCTCCATCACATGCTCTTAAGGGGTTCTAGAACATTCCTCAGAGCCTTGAAAGCCTGCTTTAGTGAAGAAGGTTTTGCCAGTAATCGATTCTCATCTTTGGGAATAACATGCTAAGCCACTAATAACATAGTAGAAGAGACTGACATCCTAGACAAGGTTTCTTATTTCAGTGACTTTTTCAGTTCACCTAGAATGTTTTCTTTAAGCTTTCCTGAGGAAATGAGATCTTCGGGCATAACCTCTCGTTCAGGAGAAGTTGTTATGACAAGAACCTCTCCACTTGCAAGCAGTTCTGGTTTCCTGTTTTCCGTGAAATAAAAATCCGTCCTGTCTCTTCAATGTCTTCAGCTCCCATGTGGCTGAAGAATGGCCCCCAATGTCCCCTTTCCCTAGGAAGGAAGCATCCTGGGCTGATTTTTTAAATAGTTTTTTTATTATTAATTTTTTCTTACATTGTGATTCATTTTTGTTAAACAAGTGAATAAACCCCCATAAATCTCCCACCACCTTGTCACCCATGACCCGTCACCATAGTCCCCCACTTTTTTGCTTTTTGTGTATTGGTTTTATTAACTGACCCCTTGTGAGGCTTGGCACTGCTCAGAGTGGTAGAGCCAAACACTGACGGTTACTGCCCCCTAGTGTCCAGCATGGGCTCCTTAATTAATCCTTCAACATGGCCCCCAAAAGAAACTAGAACCTTATCTCTATTCACATCTCTATTAATTCAAAATGGATCAAAATAGAACCTTATCTCTATTCTTATCTCTATTAATTCAAAATTAATTAAAGATTAAAGATTTGGACTTAAGACCTGAAACCATAAAATACTTAAAAGAAAACATAGGTGGTACATCACTGGACATCAAAGCATCTTTTGGGGATGCATCTCCAATGGTAAGAAGAAACAAAAATAAAAATCAACACTTCATACTACTGCAAAGGAAAAAAAAAACTTTTGTACCTCAGAAGAACTGATCACAAAACCAAATAAGCAGCCTTCAGACTGGGAGAAGCTATTTTCCCATCACGCATCTGACAAAGGGTTCATTTCCAAATGTATAAAGTGCTCACAAAACTTAACAAAAAACAAACCCATTTGGAAAATGGACAAAAGTCTAAACAGACACATTTCCAAAGAAGACATTCAGATGGTTCACAGATGCATTTAAAAAGTTCAATGTCACTTATTAGAAGGGAATGCAAATCAAATCCCAGCGAGGGATTACCCCTCCCCATGAGAATGGTCCAGATCAAAAAGACCGGGAAGAACAGATGTCAGCAAGGAGGTGGGGAAGGACCACCTGCCAGAGGAGGCCTGGCTCCAGCTCTTTATTATTGTAGCTGTGTTATCTCTAGTATTTTAGCTATGGTCTTTATTTTTTAGCTATGTTATCTAAGCTTTTCATCAATTCAATTAGAGATAAAACCTTCTAGCTTGTTCTGAATTGGGTAAGGCATGGAATGGTGCCCAGAACAAGGTCTGTTACTGCTTGGCACTGGGGAAGTGCTAGCCTGGAGACAGGGTTCTGTTCTTAGTTCTTAGTTTCAGGGTTCTGTGCCTAGTTGCGCCTCCGTAGGTTGAAGCCACCTCAGTAATTGGGTGGACACAAGTCTCTAGGGCTGGGCAGGGCTGATCACGTGTTCTCTCCTGGCCCCATGGCTTTCTTCCGTGTTCACACCCTCTAAGTTTGCTTTAACGTTATTAGCTGACTTTACATTTGAGGGTTCTGTAGGAGATTAAAGTGAGAGCCTTGAGGGTCAACACAGAATCTGGGGTGGGGAGGTGCCTAGTTGGAGACAGAGGAACTAGATTAGCAGTGAGTACATGCCACAGGAGGGCAGGTCTAGGTTTCAATCACGCAATGCCACAGACAAGTAGGAGCCGGAAAGATGTTCTGTAAAAAAATTGTGGTCAAAATCACATACAATTTGTCATCTTTACTATTTTTGAGTGTATGGTATGTTAACTATGAGCACAACAGAACATTTTCATTCTGCACAATCAAAACAATCCTCTTCCCCAACCTTACTAGCCCCTGGCAACTGCCATGTCACTGTTCCTAGAGCTGGATCACAGTAGAGATCCCATATAGGCCAAGTTGTGGGATGTTTGTCTTTTCCTGATGATGAAAAAGAAGAAATATTGCTGTGGTATGACCAGGGGGGCAGACTGTGGCAACCTCTTTCTCTTTTGCTCAAATTTTTGTTAAAAAATTTTCTTTTTCGTTTGTTTTTGAAAACACGATACTTATGTGACAATCAAACATCACAATTCTTAAGATGCCATGTTGTGGCAAACGACAGGATTTCCTGTGGGATTTTCTCTCTCTCTCTCTCTCCCTCTCTCCTCTGTCTCTCTCTCTCTCCCTCTCTCTTCTGTCTCTCTCTCTCTCTCCCTCTCTCCTCTCTCTCTCTCTCTCTCTCTCCCTCTCTCCTCTGTCTCTCTCTCCTCTCTCTCTTCTCTCTCTCTCTCTCTCCCTCTCTCTCTCTCTTCCCCCTCTCTCTCTATCTCTGTCTCAGAGACCAAATGACCGCCACATACATACCAGTCACGATTTCCTTACAGATTCATCCTTACTCTTGGCTATTGTGAAAACGCTGCAGGGAACATGGGTTTACAAATAGCGCAAGCTTTCATTGCCCTATTTTACAGGTGATGGCAACTCTAACTCACAAGGTAAAGTGAAGCTTACATCAGCTTCTCAACAGTGGCGATCCTGACATTTCCACTGGGTAATTCTTTCATGCGGGGCCCAGCTTTGCGGGTGGAGGGTAGTTCACTGCCCTGTACCCCGTAGTGCTAAGCGGGCCTCTCCACCTGCTAGATCTTAGCAACACTTCCTACTCAACGCACAGCCAAACCGAGGTGTACTGAGCCTGGAGTGGGGCGAAAATGGACCGGTGGAGAAACACAGCTCTAAAGAAACCCCAGACTCAGCTGGCTGCTGCCCAAGAGACGACGCTGAGCTTTACACAGAAAGGAACTCCGGTGCGATCTACAAAGAAATTTTTCAAACTGCACAAAACCCGGAAGAGCCCAAAAGACATCATGGAGGAGAAAGGTAGGCCAACAAATGGCGGGGCCGAAAGCTCCAGGAAGGAGCAGGGCTGCGCCATCGGAGGTCGGAGAGCCAGAGGAAGCGCCCTCTCGCAAAACCAGTGCCAGAGTCTGCGCAGTGCCTCCTGGGAATTGTAGTCCAGCGTGCTAGGTCTGCGCGCGCATTCTCTGAGCCGGTGTCTTCCTCCGTCCGCCGCGGGCGGCCGCTCCCGGAAGTTAGGCCGGTTAAAGTTTCAAAGCTTCCTTTCCCCGCCTCTTAGTCCCGCAGATTGCCAATCCAAATAGCCAATGGGTGGCTTGGCTGGCGCTTTCTTTTACTTGATTGGCTTAGAGTTTTGCAATCGCCCAGACAAACTGGCCGCTGATTGGCCAGACCTTAGGTTTTGAAAATCGTAGGTTTCGCCCGCGCTGCACCGCCCTATTACTTCCCCGACCCGTGAGCCCCGGAGACCCGGAGCTGAGGGTCTGGACGGGTGAGGGTCTCAATTAGGAAGGCCGCCAGACTTGAATCGGAGCAGCATTTGGGAGACGTGGTGCAGTCCAGTGAGTGCGCGCGGGCGGCCGGCGGGGTGCGGGGTGGTTGGCAATTTGTTAGACCCGCCAGCTTCGACTCGGGCTGTGAGTCACGTCCCTCATCCCTTGCGGTCTGGGAAAGGACGGACCACCCCTTCCAAGTGGCCTTGGGTCCTGAGATGACCCCCACCTCCCACCTGGGTCACCAGGATCCGAGAGCATGACCCGGTCTCCTCTCCCCTCCGTTACCTGGACCCTCTCGTGTACCTGGGAAGCTCTTTGTTGACCCGGATGCGCCGGAAGCGCCCACCGCCCGCGGTGCTGGACAAAATTATTACATCAGATGGTATTTTTGTCCCCCCGCCCCCTTTACACCCAGTTGAGCAACCTTTTAAACGGGCCATTCCGAGAGACGAGTGCCGCCCCTTCTGTCACTCAGCAAACAGTTTGCTGCCCGCGAGTCCATTCCAGCCAGTTACCCATGGCCTTCTCTGGGGGTGCCCAGAGCTAAAACTTGGGTCCTGCATTTCGGGGACTGCAGTCAGAGGCGTTATCGCTTGCGGTTTAAAAGTACAGTTTAATGCAGGCTCCGCCCCTGCCTCACTGGTGACTGACTTGTCATTTCCTTAGTTTTCACAGCTGCACAGGGGGTCCTTGGGGTCCGGGTGAGAATTGAATGAAATGAGGTGCTGCTGCTCCTGAGCCTGGAGTAGGACTCAGTTATATGGGAGCAGCTATGATGACAGTCCTTGTACCGTCCAAAGACAGGGGTTGCTAAGAGGGTGGTCTAATCTCAGTACAGTGTAAGAGAAGAATGGGGGGGGGATGAACTTCCTTTCGCTTTGGGAGGTTGTAGGGTGTTCTGGGTTTGTGCCCAGGTTGAAGGTGAGATGTCTGCTGCTTTTCCCAAGAGACTGATTGTAGGAGTGCTGGTTCCTCCTTTATTTGGGTTCTCTCTGTTCTAACTTACAGAAGTCCTCGAGATAGCTAAGCTGAAGTCTGCTGAAAACACTTTGCCATGGAAGGAGCCCAAACATTGTTTTGCACTTTGTGAAAGAAACTCTCATCCACTTGCCTTTTCTTTTTTTTAATCTAATAAAAAAAAAAGCTCTTGTTTTCTATAGTTTTCTCTGAGAAGCTTTATTTTGCTTTTGGTTTCCATAAACAGTTTTCTGGAGCCCTGCACTTGTCTAGAGAGGCTAGGGGAAGCTAGGGGGGTGGCTGCTGAGTGGCTGTGACTGGCTGGCTACCGAGGTTATGCCTGTCAAAGCCTGGGTGATCAAGCCCAGCTGGCCCTGTCTTGAGTACTGGTGCCCTGGGCTAGCTCCAGGAGCAAGGGCTTTGTGTGGGTAAGGCATGCCCTAACCTGTGGGGAATGAGCTCATTTGGTGTTCGTGTGTGCACGTGTGCATGTGTGTGTGTGTTTTAGGAGAGGGGGGTGAGTGAGGGGGGAGGCCAGTGGAGCAGAGGGGAGAAGGGAGTACCTGTGGGTACTAGGTACTAGGTGGCATGTTGATAACTTTATTCATCCAGTGAGTATTCCTTTCTTGCCAGCCACGGTGCCGGGCTCTGGGCTGTCAGGGCTTGCCCTTGGGGCGCAGATGTTTAGCAGGCGGAGACTGGCAGTGAGCAAACAGATGTCCCTCACCCAGGTGCCATGCAGAGAGAATCCAGATGGTTGGGTGGGATGGTGAGTGGTGGTCGGGTCCTCCCTGTAGAGCTGAGGTCCAAGGTGTGAGGAGTGAGCTGGGGACGCTCTGGAGACATCTTTCCAGAGGGCAGAGTTTGTTTAAGGAGCAAAGACTAGTGAGTCCTGGAAGTCAACCCTGGGACGACTAGAGCCTCACTGTTAAAGGTGTCAAGGGGTCAGCGACCTAGCTCCCCCTTCCAGGTTCTTGGTTTTGAGCGTATAGCTCCAGGTGGCCGGTCACTGGGCTGCATGAGACTGTAGTCTGTTGTGTCTTGTGAGCAAGCACTGCCATTCACTAGTTCTTTCATTCATCCTCCCAGTCCGGGGGTTTCCTGAGCCCCTGCTATGCCTGTGATGGAATACTTCCTCACATGGCACTTGGGTGATGATGTTATAGGCGGACACCTGAGCTGCTTTAATTAGGAAATTAAAAGGAAACTGGTTTTGTATTTTCTCTTCTTGATATTTATTTCTAAACAAGTTTCCTGAAAAACTATACATTGTTTTCTTCTCTTCTCATGCTCTCTCCTCTACTTCCAGGACGTTTCAGCTCAGGGAGGGGGTTGGGGGGACCCCTTAGAAAGGAGCATGTCTCTGGACCCCTACTTTCATGCCAGCCCCCAGCGTGTGCATTGCTCCCGCTCACTGGTTTCAAGGAGAGGCAGGTGGTTTTGATGTTCTTTGGCCTGTCACTTGGGGTCAGCTTGTGTGTCTCTCAGGGTGACTGTCTAAGCTTGTTCACCTGCAGGTAGGAGAGGGGGACCCAAGGAAAGTAGGCCTGCACCTGGGCAGGGAGTTGGGCCACCACGGGCCACGAAGGCCGCGGGCTGTGCCCTGGCATCTTAATCCCAGAAAAGGCCGTTTGTTAGGATGACTTTTGTTACCAGAATTAGCACTTAGAATTTTGCTTCTTTGGGGACAGTCATAAGCAGGGAGGGCGCCGATCCAGCCCCAAGTGTCTTGTGATCGGGGATGGGTGCTGTGGGTTGGCAAGTGGAAGGTTCCAGCCCCCAGCCCTGAGCCCTTGTGCCTCTTACCCCTGCTCTAGCCTGAGAGAGCCGCCATGGGGACCACAGCCCCAGGGCCGATCCATCTGCTGGAGCTGTGCGACCAGAAGGTCATGGAGTTTGTCTGCAATGTGGACAATAAGGACTTGGTGTGGCTGGAGGAGATAAAGGAGGAGGCCGAGCGCATGTTCATCAGGTGAGGCAGGGGCGCTGGGCTGCCTGGCCACGATGGCCTTGGACATACTGCCACACTTTCCCACCTGAAAGGTGTAACAGGCCAGCAGGAGTCCCTCACGATGTGGCTAGGACTGGACCTTAGGGGCTGGCTGCGCCCCCTTGCTCCTCTGCCACACCTCCTGGGGGACCCAGGTGTCTGGCAGGTGACTTCATGGGGTCTGGACAGGGCACCTGAAGCCTGACACCCGGCTGGTTCTGGCCAGGAGATGGGCCGGGGCCAGGCTGGCTGGGCAGGGAGCCAGCAGTGGCGGAGGACAAGACCACAGCATCACCCGCCTTTTCCCAAACAGAGAATTCAACAATGAGCCCGAGCTGATGCCCAAGACACCTTCTCAGAAGAACCGGCGGAAGAAGAGACGGGTCTCTTCTGTTCAGGATGAAAACAGAGACCCCATCCGGAAAAGGTCAGAGGGCTAGGTCAGCTGGGTGGGGGGGGGATATCTCGGAGGCTTGGTGCCCGTCGCTGCTGCTGAACGGGAGCCAGCCGCAGGCCTGCCACGTGGCCTGTGCTGAGGTGGACCTTCCCTGGCGGTTCAGGGAGCAGTGAGGTGTGATCCGAACCCGTGGAGTCCAGAGCGCATTTGTAGCGAGCAAGACCTTGTGTTTAACCTGGATCTTGTTGGGCAGAATCTGCAGAGGTGGGAGAGGAAAGAATCCAGCCTCCTGCGTGGGTGGGTGTCCAGAATGGCACCAGCCCACCCCTGTGCTTGTGCCTGTGGACGTAACTGGCAGTGCCAAGCACTGGGAGGAAGGGGCTGGGCTTCAGGGCCGAGTCGCTCTGGGCATACACCCCACCTGGCCCACCATGGGTCCTTGGGTTAATTTTCCACCTCCGGGCCTCAGTTTCTTCTCCAAAGTGAGGGTAACGGTGGCTGCTTTTTAGGACGGTCTTGTGGATTAAGTGGCAGCGCAGTTAAGCGTCCATTGGGGTGCTTGGCCCAGTGTGCCCCCAGACAGGATGGATTTATGAATCGAACCTCCCTGGCGGTTCAGGGTGGAGACCAGCATCATCCCCACTTTACAGCAGGGAGGCTGCGGCTCAGGAGTGGTGACTGGGGCTCGGGGCTCACCTTGGCAGAGCCTGACGGAACTCAAGTCTAAGGCCTGCGCTGCACACTTTATCCAAGCTGGTTCCTGGGGAAACTGGGGCCCCAGCTCAGTTTTGGGCCACCCCTTGCCCTACTGGGTCGCCCTAACTTTTGCCCTGCTGTCTCTGCAGGTTGTCCCACAGAAAGACGCGGAGCGGCCGGCTGAGCTCCCGGCGCCTCCGCAGCAAGGACAGGCTGGAGAAGCTGGCCCCGGGGGCTGGGGACGACGTTCCCGTCTTGCGGCGCGTGACCCGTGCTGCGGCCGCCGCCGCAGCCGCCACCACAGCATCGACGGCACCTTTGCCTGCCTCTGAGTCCCCCACAGCACTGACAGATAAGTTTGGGGTGAGCGTCGCTCAGGGCCAGCTGGTCCCCGTCGTGGAGATAGGCACCAGTGAGCAACAGAGCGCCCAGCAGCACCTCAGGCAGCTCAGGTCTGCTTCGGCCGCTCCCCCGGCCCCAGCTCCGGCCTCCCCCATCACCTTGACCTCCGATGAGGAATCAACTCCCAAGAAGCCAGAGGCGGGGAGATTGGAGTCTGTCAACGTGAGCTCCCTGAAGACCACACCCCAGGACCCCAAGGGGCGAGGGGCTGGAGCAGGGAGGTCCGCCTCCAAGCTCAGGATCGCGCAGGCCTCCCCGGGCCTGCAGGACTTGCCTGCCTCTCCGGCCTCCCCGTGGCGGGAGCGGGTGCTGGCCCCTATCCTGCCGGACAACTTCTCCACGCCTGTGGGCACCCGGCCAGACCGGAGGTCTGTGCGGCGCAGCCTGATTGCCCCGTCCTCTCCCGGGCTCCAGCCCTCGCTGGCCCAGAAGTACTCGCTGGTGACCAGGCAGACCGCCGTCCGCAGGTCCAACAGGATCACCAAGAAGGCCACCGAAGAGCCGGCCGCCTCCGCCCGCATCATCTGTGAGTGGGGGCCCAGCGTGGCGGGGGCAGGGCGGGCTGCCGGGGTGCCTGGCGCAGCTGGTGGGACTCGGGGACCAGCTGTGTTCCGTGCTGCTGTGCACTGTGTCACAGAGCAGTGGAGACACGTTCTGAGAAGTTCACTGCATATGTCGCAGAATGTGGTCCCTCGCCCGGGCCTCCTGCTCACCTGCTGTGTGGGGACCAACCCGCAGATGCGGCCCGGCACCCACCACAGGCAGGTGGCCTGTGAATGACCACGTGCTCTGTGGCTAGCGGGCCCAGTCGCTGCTGCGGCTCATGTGACTGGCCCTGGGCTCCGGTCGCCTCACGTAGAGCCGGCAGGTTGGGCAGTGCAGTTCCAGGCCAGCCTGACTTAACAGACGTAGACACTGAGGTCAGGGAGGTGGCCCAGGCGTCCCCGTGGCTAACCCCCGGTTAAGGATGCCGTGCTGCGTCCTTTATCCTGTGGGGCCCATGGGCTGCTCCTGTCAGCACGACCACTTGCCCTGGAGAGTCTGAGGCGAAAGTTGGTGACGTCTCAGGGCTCATTCCCAGACGGGACTGGGTGGACTAGCTGTCAGCTGTTTCCCCAGCCAGTGCCCTCGGGGCACCGCGCCAGGGGTTGGTCCCTCTTCTGTCAGCTGGGATCACGGCCGCATCACCTCTGAGGCTTACAGGTTTTCTTGGTTACCCTGCGTAGGGTGTTAAGAACGGGCCTGTCACATGGGAAGTAGGTTAGTGTCTTTATCAACAGATCCCGTCTCGGGGCTCATCCCATTCTTAGGGTGGAAGCAAGAAGGAAAGGAGGGAGATGTGAAATGTGGTGCTTAAGCCCTGGGGTCCCACAGATGCTGGGAGATCCTGGGATACCAGCTCTAGAACCCAAGACCCCTCCCTGAGCATAGGTGTGGCCAGGCTGACCTTGGCGCTGCAGGGTGGGGCAGGGGGCGAGGCCTCCTGGAGGATTCCCTGCTCTGGGGCGGAGCAGGCAGCTCTGAGGTGGGTCTCAGTTTGGGTCTCCCCAAAGGTGTTCTTGATGTGAGGACTTGAGAGTAACTTCTGACTTTGGGGGAGAAGGAAAGATTTGCCGTAGGGGAGGTGGGAAGTGGGGACCTGGTGCCTTGGGGAACCTCTGAAAGCCGCTGGGGCTGGGCGGGGATATGATGGCTGAGCCGCTGGTGCTGTGGGCAGCGGTGGGCAGCAGTGGGCAGCACTGAAGCTCCTCCTTGGGGTTCCCAGGCCACCTCCACACTGGGGTATAGCTCTCCCAATCCCCTGCCAGGCCAGCTCCGAGGCCCGAAGCCCCAGCGTGAGCCCCAGTGGTCTGGCGTGTGCTTTGGGCATCTGAACATCCCGTTTCACTGAGTAAAGCCCATCGCAGGGCCACAGCCTTCGCTGTGGGTGCCTGCCAAGGAGCACACTGACCCGTCTCAGAGCCACGGTGGATGCGGGAAGCGGGACACCAGCGTGGTGGCGTCTTCCAGAATTCTGTTTTGGGCAATCTTTTTTTTGGGGGTGGGGGAGGTGCTCAATTTCTTATTATTGGCAGCAATATCGTGAGCTGATCTGCTGGGTGGGAAACTCACTGTGTTCGTTCTTAAGAAAATACTTGTGCCACGCTCGGACCTCAGCGTGTCAGTCATTCTTTCCATTCAGAAGCTCGTGTCGGGTTGAAGGTGGCTGTGCAGCGGGGGTCCCGCGGATCAGGGTGCTTTCAGGGGTGGGTGGCGGCAGGAGTTCTGTGTGCCTGCTGCTCCCCGCACGATGTTAGTGAGCAGCGCTCATCCTTCTTCCCAAGATACCTCAGTCTGGCAAAGGAGCCACCGTGTGTCCTGGGCCACCTCTGTGGTGGCCTGAGATGTAAAGCTGACAGCTGCACGGGGGGTCGCGCTCGGGCACCAGGGCTCCTGCTTCCAGGAAGGGGGTGTCTGGGCGATGGGAGGTCTGACTGCAGACAGGGAGCTGCAGGGCCCCCCTAGGCCTCTTCCCTGGGCCTCGTGGGGTGGCACCTGGCTGGCTTTTGACGGCATTTCTGCTTCCTTCGTTTCTCCTCAGGTCACAGTTACCTGGAGAGGCTCCTGAATGTGGAGGTACCCCAACAAGTCAGGTGAGTTCAGTTCCAAGGCCTGGGGACCTCTGCTGGTACTCTGGAAGGGAGTCCTGGGGCTCCTGCTGGGGCTCAGGCCAGCCCATCTGCTGTGGGCCCCCCGGTCGCTCCCCCCTGAGGGGGTCATGGGCTGGCTGGCTGACCCACAATGCCTCTCTCTGCTTTCAGCCCTGAGAGGAAGGAGCCGAGTGAGAAGGCTGTGGGGCCCGTGGAGGCAGCTGAGCCAGAGGTGAGGTGGGCGGGCAGGAGGGAGTGCCTCAGGCCTCGAGGCTCTCAGGCGCAGACCTCCAAAGCTGTGCTGCTTTCCCCAGACCCCCAAGAACAACGGGAGCACCTCGTGCCCTCACGGTGCCACCAAGATGGCCATCAGCACCCCTGACTCGCGGCCTGCGGCTGGTGGCCGGGCCTCGCCCTCGGAAGGTGAGTCTTCCCGACCTGCTCTGCAGATGCCTGGGGCTGTGGTCCCCTGGTGGCATGGGCCTGGCATCTCTAGGGACGAGGAAGCTCGTACTCCGGTGGGCATGCCAAGAAGAGACGGGACCCGGGAGCTTAGATCTCGGTATCCGCAGGCTTCCCGTGACGGAGCTGCCCCCAGGTGCCGTGTGAGTGGCCTTGGCTGCTGGGTGCAGGGAGAAAGGGGAAGACCGGGGGTCGGGCACCGACCACAGGTGGCGGGTCGGGGCAGCGGGAGCAACTGCGCTCGGGTCTGAGCAGCTGCCTGCCGGCTGGCGCTGGCTCACAGCTCACCATTGCGGTTCCCTGTCTGAAGAGGGCGGGAGAGCTGTGGGCTGTGGCACCCCCGGAGGTAACTCGCATTTTGCTGGTGGGAGGATCGCTGTCGAGATCTCTGAGCTCTGGAACAGGCTTCCGGCTTTAGGATGGGATTGGCGCTGTCAGCCCCCTGCCCGTTACCTGCAGGGGCCCGCAGGGCCTCTGGAGTAGAGAGGTGGGGGTGCATGCTTGCCCCAGCGGTGCTTCTGGCCCCACCCCCACCCGCTGACCTGCACAGAGGCTCCCTCCTGTCCCAGCAGCCCCCGCTGAAAGGGCTGGGAGAGGGGGGCCTCACCGCCAGTCAGGGTCAGTGAGAGCTCGCAGCTCCGTCTGTTTCCCGGCCCCAGGGGCAGTGGTGGTGGAATGTGGGGGCCCACCTCACTGGGGTTGCCCTGCTGTTCTTATTGCAGGCCAGGCACTGGGGTGAGCGGTCTATGGGCTGGGCTCTGGCTGTCCACACCCTTGTCCAGGCCACTACCAAGGACCACTAGGATGGGAGCTTCGCGCAGGGCTGCTGCGGAGGGCTCCTTCCCCTGGGCCCTTCCCTGGGACTCCCTGAAATTGCTCTCTTCACAGAGGCCAAGACTGAGCAGGCAGACGGACCCAAGGAGCCACCCCACAGTGCCAGGTCTGTACCTGGGGGAGGGTCCTGGAGGCATGGACCTTGCGCCTCGGGTGTGTGGCCAGGGGCCTCCATGGCCTCTTGGCAGGGATTGGGGCGCTGACTTAATGAAACTGAAGGGTGAGCCTGGTCTGGGAGTGGGTGACCAGATCTTGGACCCATCCTCCTGGGTGTGACCTTGGTCTTGTCACTTCTTTCCTCTGGCAGAGGGGGTCATCAGAAAGACCCTACCTCGCAGTGCCCTCCGGTCGCGAGTCCGGACCCAGGGTGCCCTCTGTAGCATGGCTGGGGCTGGGGAGAGGGTCCCGGACTCAGCTTGGTGACACAGCTGCCCCCACGCGGCAGGAGGAAGCGCAGCTACAAGCAGGCGATGAGTGAGCTGGACGAGGAGCAGCCGCTGGAAGATGAGGAGCTGCAGCCCCCCAGGAGCAAGACCCCGTCCCCGCCCTGCCCGGCCAGCAAGGTGGGCAGCCTCCGGCCCTCGGCGCCCTGTCCCTCCTGCCCGCCAGCCTGACCCTGGTCCCGTCTGCAGGTGGTGCGGCCCCTGCGGACCTTCCTGCACACCGTGCAGAGGAACCAGATGCTCATGACCCCGACCTCGGCCTCCCGCAGCAGCACCGTGAAGTCCTTCATCAAGCGCAACACGCCCCTGCGCACCGACCCCAAGGTGAGGCCTGCGGCCCAGCGTGGTGGGAGCAGGCCGGGGGCGGGAGACACCAGTCTGACCCAGGCTTCCGGGAGCCGCGTGGGTCGGCCCGGGCACTTGTGTCTTGACGGCCATGGCCACTCGCCTGCGGGGACCGACCGGAGCTGGGCTCCACACTGCAGCCTAGAGGCTGGTGGCACTGGGTGGGCAGGGGGAGGCGGCGGTGCCGGGCAGGGGCCGCCCCATCAGACTCACAGACTCCTGGCACAGCCGGGAGCCCGGCCTGCTTTCCAGGCCCCCCTCCTGCATGGCATTAACTCTCTCCTTGTCTCCTCTCCTCCACAGAGCAGCTTCGTTGTAAGTAAAGCCTTTTCCTGCCCTTGTACTTAGCTCCCCCTCGCGCTTTCCGCTGTCATCCTGCTCCCACTAAACTGACCTCACCTGTAGCGGCACTAACACCCAAGCGGGGCGCCTGAGGGGGTGGGCGTGAGCCGGGGCTGGCCGCCTCCCTCTGCGGAGCCTGCCCTCTGCCAGGACGGCTCCCAGGAGGATGAGTCTCGGAGCCTCCCTGAGGCAGGTGGGAGCAAAGGGGGGTGACCTGCAGCACTTCACCAGGCCACAGCTTGAAGTGTCCCTTGCCAGGTGCCGGGCTCCCTTTGGGCAGGGCCTGAGAAGAGAACTGAGAAGTTCCATCTGATCCCCTAGAGGTTTCTGGGCCACAGACCTAAGCAGCTGCCTTAAGGTGGCGGAGCCAGGCGGGGCGTGGAGGCCCAAATCTGACCCCTGGTTGAAGGCCGGGGGTACTGGAACTGCTAGCGGCCTTCTCTGGGGAGAAGGCACGTGAGCTGTTCTCTTCTCAGGTAGCCCGGAGCTGAGCTGGGCCCTGCTCACACAGCCTAGCTCGGGGGCCTCCCTCGAGGGCTTCTGCCTCCAGCCCACGGCCTGAGGGCCCGAGCACACTGTGGGGATTGGCGGGTCCCGGGGGGCTTCCCAGCAGCTGGACGGGTGGGCTGTGAGCTCGCTTCTGCTGAGGAAGGTTGGGAGGCTGCTATCCTAGGGGCGAGGAGGCAATGGTGGGCCTCCCACATGCCAGCCAGCCAGCCGGCTCTGCCTGACACTGCCAGCACAGGTCTGGGCCCACAGCGAGCAGGGTCTGTTGTAGCCTCCTGCAAGGGCTCCTCAGCCCCACCCAGGCTGAAGGAGCAGCAGGGGGGGTGGTAGAAATTCCAGGTGCCTCCGCTTCTGGGGTGCTTTCCCCGTGGGAGAGCAGATGGGTGGCTCGATAGGGCAGGGGGCTGGATGTCCACGATGCAGGACGGGCTGTTTCCTCGGGCCCTGCTAGTATTTCCTCGGCGTCCCTTTCTCTCTGTGCAGTTGGAGCTGTTTTTAAGGTCACTTTCCCATTCACTGGCTTCTGTCTTCTCCATTCTGCTTTTGGGCCCATCCAGAGTTTTTGATTTGTGACTGTACTTCCAGATCTTCTCCTTGCTGAGGTTCTGTTTGCCGTTGTCTTAGGTGTGTCAGAGGTTACTTGGGGAAGCGTTTTTAGAGCAGGTGCATTAAAGTCTGAGTCCAGCATCTTCAGTCTCTTGTTGGCCGTATCACAGGAGGCTTGGGAAATGGGCAGACGTCCACCCGCGTCTGTCGCGCCCGTTTTGGCGACCTTGGGTAGCACTGGGCAATGTCTGCCTTTGTGTTTCTCTACTATGATGAAGAAAATAGCTGATTCACACAAAAGAGAGGGTGTGAGTGTCTGTAGACAGAGTATAAAACACAAAGCACAATAGTAGTAAGTTCCCACGCGTGCCCATGCCCCTTAACTTTCACAGCCGCCCTGTCCCTTCCGGTCTCATGCTTCCTTCTTTTTTTTTAAAGATTGATTTATTTGTGCATACAGAACAGGGGTGCAGGCCAGAGGTGCAGGGGGGTGAGAGGATTCACCAGAGACAGAGTGGGGAGCAGAACAGGCAGATCGAAGTCCACTGCTGAGGGGAGCAGCGGGCAGCCCGGAGAGGTCTGCCACGCCATGGGGTCAGCTCCGGGGCGGGGATCGAACTCGCACTGAGGCGGCTGTGGCCAGCGCGCAGTGCTGTGACCTAGCCTGTTGTGCCACCAGGGCGGGCCTTGCTTCTTTTATCCAATGCACTTTCCACAGTTATACGCAGAGCTTCTGTCCAGTTCCGAACTTGACTTGGCACGACTGACTTGACAGGGCTCGGTGGATACGCATGCCTGTGGCCTTTGGGGCCTGGGCAGGAAAGGCTGAGTGTCTCAGGGCTCAGCCTGGGGGGTGGGAGCGGCAGTGGGGGTGGGGGGCGCCTCCGCCCTCAGTTGCAGCCCAAGCTGGCTTTGCCTGGCTGCGGCTGCAGGGGCCGAGGGGCAGCCCCTGGGGGGCTCGTCCTGGGCCAGCCCTGGGCTGACCTCACCCTGCCCCTCCCACGCCCAGGAGAAGGAGCGACAGCGCCTGGAAAACCTGCGGCGGAAGGAGGAGGCTGAGCAGCTGCGGAGGCAGAAGGTGGAGGAGGACAAGCGGCGGCGGCTGGAGGAGGTGAAGCTGTAAGTGGGGGGTCCTGGGCCCCACCCCGGCGCCTACCTGGCGGGCACCCTGTGACCGCCCTGTGCCCCCAGGAAGCGTGAGGAGCGCCTCCGGAAGGTGCTGCAGGCCCGGGAGCGGGTAGAGCAGATCAAGGAGGAGAAGAAGAAGCAGATCGAGCAGAAGTTTGCTCAGATCGACGAGAAGACCGAGAAGGTACGAGCCTGGGCTGGGGACGGCCCAGCTGCAGCTGTGTTGGCCTGGGGGGGGCCTGGCGGTGCCAACTTGGCAGCCTGAGGGCTGGGACCAGGCCTCGGGAAGTGGCGGGTCAGATGTCCTGTAGCCCCCTGTCTGCCCCACGGGCTGGGGCTGTGTCCTGAGCCCGGCTGAACTGCGCCGCAGCCCTGTGTGGGTGGTGGGCTGCGGCCCCCAGCAGGGCAGCTCCCGGCGCCCCTCCCAGGGCTGTGGGGAGTCGGCCCCTTTGCCGGGGTGCGGAGCCCCCGCCAGCACCCTGTGTGTTCAGTGAGGAGGGCTGCTCCAGTGGGCACCTTGGGGGGCTCTGCAGGCCAAGGAGGAGCGGCTGGCTGAGGAGAAGGCCAAGAAAAAGGCCGCGGCCAAGAAGATGGAGGAGGTGGAGGCGCGCAGGAAGCAGGAGGAGGAGGCACGGAGGCTCCGGTGGCTGCAGCAGGTGCGGAAAGGCCCAGGGGCAAAGGGGCCCAGATGTCCATGCCCCACTCGTTAGCTCGGCCCTTGAGGACCTTGAGGCTTCAACCCAGAAAGGTCCAGGCAATGCCTTGGAGCGGGAATGGTGGCAGTGACCTGTCTCCCGTCGTCTGTGGCAGTTGCAGGGTTCAGTGCAAGGACTGCCGAGCCAGACTTCCGTCGGCTCTGCTGTGTGACCCTGGGCAGGTTACTTGACCTCTCTGTTGCTTCGGTTTCTTCAGATAGCACCAGTGCCTGTTTACAAACAAGCTTGTTGGATGACATTGTCCGCCTGTAAAGGGAGGGACCCGACCGCTTCCTGGGGACTGGGGGCACAGCTGGGACGCCGGGGCATTTACTGAGTATTTCCTGTGCGCCAGGCACGGTTCTGAGCGTGAGGTGTGTGGCCTCTGCAGCCTCATGCAGTGGAGGGATTACTGTTGCGCCCATCTTACCGACGAGGCTGCGTTCTGGGGCTCCGGCGAGGCGCCCAGTGCCACGTGGCTCACGGGCCTGGCCCTGCTCCATACCGCTGACGAGGAGACCCGCTGCGCCAGCAGTTATAAGAGGCCTTTTCAGGAGGGCGGTGGTGACCTTTGCCCAGCTTTGTGTGGGTGTCCCTGGCCGAACCCCTGCCCGTCCCTGGTGGACACGCACACCGTGTCCCCTGAGAGGACCTGGGCTGCCAGGTGGGAACAGGCCCTCGAGCCTCCGGGGCCCTCGCCCGACCTGACCCCGTGCAGCCAAGGACGCTGACCTTGCGCTCTGCTCACAGGAGGAGGAGCGGCGGCAGCAGGAGCTGCTGCAGAGGAAGAAGGAGGAGGAGCAGGAGCGGCTGCGGAAGGCGGCAGAGGCCCGCAGGCTGGCGGAGCAGCGCGAGCAGGAGCGGCTGCTGGCGGAGCAGCAGGAGCAGGAGCGGAAGAAGGAGCAGGAGCGGTGGCGGGAGCAGGAGCGGAAGAGGGAGCAGGAGCGGCTCCAGGCCGAGAGGTGAGGGCCGGGCGGGTGGGCACCTGCTGCCGCCCGCCTCCCTTGGGGGTTTGCACACGGTCGACTCCCCGGCTCCAGCCCCAGAGACCCTGAACATGGGCCGTGGCCGAGGCTCCAGGCGTCACGGCCCAGCGCTCGGGTTGGCCCTGGCCCTCCTCCAGCTGGGCGCGCTCGCCCCTCTGGCGGGTCACTCCTCAGCTGACGCGGCTGGGGACCCAGGGGTAGTAGGACCAACCAGACTTCTGAACACGGGTGCTCAGCACAGCTGCAGCCGCCGGGGTGAGGAGTCAGGCACCCCAGCGTTACCGCCTGCCCCTCTGGGAGGCATGGCGGGCGAGCCCTGACACCCCCAGCTCTCAGAGGCGGCGGGCTCTGGGCCACCTCCTCGAAGCACCGGACCATGCTTCCGCGTGCCAGCCCACAGGGTACATCACCCTTGGGGCGTCAAGAAGTGGGGAGTCACAGGCGGGGTGCTGGCCAGCTCTGCATGCCGCCTCGCAGTGCTTCTGATTGACATGGGGTCCCCAGTCCTGTGGACAGAGTCAGAGGGGACAGTGAGGCTGGGTGGCAGCTGATGTGGTTTTAGGGCTGATGTGTGCCCGGTGGTGCGGGGCTTGGAGCGTGAGGGTGGCAATGCTTGGTGGCTGGTAGCTGTCCAGCTACACACTAGCTCCTTGAAGCCCAAGGGTTCACTCAGAGTCCCCTGGGGTGTAGGAATCAGCAGCCCTACTTCTTAGAGGGAGAAATGGGTTCTGAGAGGTTCAGCAACATGTTTAAGGTCAGGAGCTAGTGAGTGGCGTTGGCTCCAAACCCCCGAACATCGGGGCCAGCGGGGTCCTCCCCGTGCGGTGGGAGGATGGCGGGCCCCTGGATTAGCTCACCGTGTCCTCGTGGTGACTCTGGAGGGTAGGTGTAATGACCGCATTGTGGGGATAGGACTGAGCCCAAGTTGTGTGGAAAAATCGGGGGGACCCCATTGGGTGGGGTCTCCTGCTGAGCACTGCCTGCAGGCCCCGGACACGTTCTCGCGCCCTGGGCCTTTGGGGCACAGGCACGGCCAGGCTCCGGGCTCCCTGCCCGGTTTGCCATTGCACTTCCTCCAGAGTGGGGGGCGCAGGCCCCACCTCCGGCTGACAGGTCTTGCTGGTCCCCAGGGAGCTGCAGGAGAAGGAGCGGGCCCTGCGGCTGCAGAAGGAGCGGCTGCAGAGGGAGCTGGAGGAGAAGAAGAGAAAGGTAAGCGGGAGCTGTGTGTGCGGGCTCCCACGGTGGTACTGAGCCCGGACGGGGAGGCCTGGCCTGGCGGCTTCTGGTGCGGGAGCTGCGTCGTGTGGGGCTGACCTCAGGAGGGGAGTGAGTGCAAGACACGCACACGGTTCTCGGGCCCCGGCCTGCATCTGTCCCAGGAGGAGCAGCAGCGCCTGGCCGAGCAGCGGCTCCAGGAGGAGCAGGAGAGGAAGGCCAAGGAGGCGGCGGCCAGCAAGGGCCTGAATGTGACCGTGGAGGTGCAGGTGAGGCCGGGGCGCCAGGACTGAAATGCCTGCAGCCCGGATGACTCCCCAGTAACTGACGCTGACTATAAGATACTTACTCTAAAAGTTAAATTCGTTACAGAAAAAGTAGCCGTAGAAGGCATCCTTCGCGGATAGCTTAGTGCGCCGTGTGTTTCTCCGCATTGTTCTGCATACAAGCGCGTCACACGCCGCACCCAGCCTGAGCGGGCAGAGACAGCCCGTCTGCTCAGCAGCCACCGCCCGCCGCAGCCCGGGCAGGAAACAGCAGCGGCGCTTCCCACAGCCCCGCAGCCCCGGAAGCTGGGAAGTGGAGGTCGAGGGCGCAGGTTCCGCCTGCTGTGCCCCCTCCTGGGCTCCCTGCAGCGTCCTCCGTGGCGGGAGGGGAGAGGAGCGCTCCCAGGCTCCTTCCAGGGGCACGAAGCTCATTCATGAGATCCCCTCAAAGGCCCCCACCTCCTAATGCCTTCCCCTTGGGGTTAGGACTTAACACAGGGGCGGGGCGGTGGGGGCGAGCGGAGCTCATCGCACAGACCGCTCGGCAGCTCGGCTGTCCCCGCCCTCGCCGGCCGTGGGTCTCGGAGGCCTCCGCCTGTCTCAGCGTGAGGCGTTCAGAGCTCTGTGTGCCCGTTAGTCACCCCAGACTTTCCTTAACCTGCCCCTAGTGATGGCCACTTCAGCAGTTTCCAGATGACCGCTGTCACAGGCAGTGTGGGGCGAGAAAGGGTTTCTACTACCGCAGTTTAGGCCGCTGGAGCCTGGGGGTGGCCGGTCGCCCCTCGACGGGTGGTGGGAGGCCCTGAACGCACGGACACCTGGTCTGCAAGTGATTGTGCGCGCTGGAAGCCACAGCCGCGTGACGGTTTAAGCGAGAAAGCGGCCCCAAACCTTTTGCTTTTTCCTGTGAAAGGAGGGAGGCGCCCAGGGAGAGGTGCAGGGTGCTGACGGCCCTGTTTATCTTCTCCAGTCTCCAGCCTGCACCTCGTATCAGATGACTCCACAGGGGCACAGGGCACCCCCCAAGATCAACCCGGATAACTATGGGATGGATCTGAACAGTGACGACTCCACCGATGACGAGGCCCAACCCCGGAAGCCCATCCCCACCTGGGCCAGAGGTGAGCAGGCCTGAGCTCTGCCGGACACCGGTGTCCTCAGTGGTGTTTCTGGAGGCAGTGGGCGGCAGTAACGGGAGGCTGTGGGCTCCCGCTTGATGTGTTACCTGACGAGGCTGCATCAGGCCTTGGACACGGGCCCAAGGAAGAGTGGGCACCCGGGGCCAGTGGGCTCCTCGAGGACCAGGCCTGTGGTGCTGGGCAGAACTGTTATTGCAAGAGGGCAGTCAGTGGCGGCTGGCTCCCGGGCCGAGTGGGCGGGGCGGCAGGCAGGAGGCCATCTGGCCCTGGAGCCCGGCAGCCGGGGCTGACGCCTGCCAGCTTTCGTCAACTCAGCTTTCTCATCTGTGAGTGGGACCAGCCGAGAAGCTTCTTGGGTGTGAAGCGAGTTAGAGGACAGAGGGGCGACACTGGGTGCTTGCAGTGCCCCCTCCTCCCCTGCCTGGGGGCTGTGGTGCTGACCAGGTAGGAGCTGGCTGAGGCAGGGAGGCTGAACGCGCATCCCAGCGCCAGAGCCGGCCGGGGCCTCTCGCATTCTGCCTCCCACTGGCTGTGTCTTTTGCAGGGGATAGAGGATCTGGGCCCCAGGGGTTTTGCAGAACTAGTGGGCCATGCGGGCTCGCATGTGCTCTGGAGGAAACTCTCCAGACTGAGCTGCTGGAGCCTGGGATGTGCAAGAGCGTGGGCCCTGGCGGGAGGGGGAGGCTGCAGAGAAAGGCAGGGGCGTGCTGGGCCGGGGCTGGTGAGGCCTTGGAGGGTGCGGGAGAGGGTGGCCCTGGAGAGCTCCAAGGCAGGGCCCCACCTGTTCCCTGCAGGCACCCAGCTCAGCCAGGCCATCATCCACCAGTACTACCACCCCCCGAACCTTCTCGAGCTCTTTGGAACCATTCTCCCGCTGGACTTGGAGGACATCTTCAAGAAGAGCAAGCCCCGCTACCACAAGCGCACCAGCTCCGCTGTGTGGAACTCGCCGCCCCTGCAGGGCCCCAGGGTCCCCGGCGGCCTGGCCTACAGCCTGAAGAAGTACTGAGGCAGCCCCGGGTCTCGGCAGCCTCAGCTCTGTCTGTCTGTCTGTCCGCCTCTCTTGGCCGGTGCCCTCCCAGGAGCCTGGCATTCTGTTTGAGGGCTTGGCCCTGTGTATATACATGTTCTCTGTGCCGTGGGGGGAAGGTGGCCTGGATCTGTTTGGAGGCTGTGCTCTGGGTGCTTGGGGAAGAACCAGGCCGCCCACCCGGCCAGAGCAGTCCTCTGTAAATAGATTGTTACAATTCCGCTGAATTTTAGCCTCTAGTGTTTGAGAGCTAGGTTAATAAAGTCTATTCCTCAAGCCTGTTGCAGGGATTGTGGAGCCGCGGCAGTAGGTCCTGGCGCAGGCCCTGCGAAGTGCTGGGACCCCAGATGGACTGGAGGGCCAGGGCACCGTTGTGGGGTGTGCTTCAGAGTCCCCGGGGCCCCACCCCCCAGAGTTGCTGGCAGAACCGCCCATCCCAGTTGACCTTCCTGGGATTCGTCGTGTTTAGCCCCCAGAAGGTGTTGTCAGCCTCCCGGTCACCGGGGTACATCGGTGGCACCGGTGCCCGACACTCATTCGGGCATCATGGGGCCGGAGTCGCACTTCGGAGCAAGTTTCAGTCAAAACGTCCCCGGGCGAGTGCCGTGATGACGCAGCCTGTGCCGTGCGGTGACTTCCCTTCCTCCCCGTTCTCCCTGCAGGAAGCTAGTGGGAACCACAGAACTAAGAGTTAAAGCTTGCTCCATAGCTGTTCGAAGCTGTGACCTGCCATGGCAAATGACATCTATTTTCTGAGCAGAACTGAAATGTTTGCTTTTTCCTCTTAATTTCAGAGTGCAAAACCTTTTGAAACACCTCATATCAGGCTTAACTTTGGGTGTTTGGAATGTACTTAAAGATTGGATTTGGACACAATTGTGTGATTGGACTGATCTGTTCTCAAGACTGAGAGACTGGTTATGTGAAATAATTAAATCAACTTCTCGCGAAGTTCCAAAGACAGAAGTGTTGGGGAGCTAAAAATGTACCCCAAGATATCTCATTTTTGGCAAAAGCAACCACCCAGCCTTCAGAGCCTCTCTCATGAAATCAACCAGTTGCCAAGTTTTTATCCATTTTGTATTGATTTTTGTGTACGATGGAATGTAGTCTAATTTTATTCTTTTACATGTCATTGTCCAGTTTTCCCAGCATCATTTTTTAAAGAGACTTTCCTTGTTCCAGTGTGTATTCTCAGCTCCTTTATCATAGATTAGTTGTCCATGTACGTGGGGTTACAATTCTACTCCACTGGTCTGTATGTCTGTTTTTGTTCCAATATGTTGTAATGATTAGGGCTTTGTAGTATAGCTTGAAGTCTGGGTGCCCCATTCTTCCTATTTTCTAGTCAGAAGTGCTTTGGCTGTTTGGGTTTTTTGTAATTCCACTTGGATTTCAGCAAGATTTGTTCCATTTTTTTTGAAGAATGCCACTGAGTTTTTTTCTTGGAATTACATTGAATCTCTATATTGCTTTGGGTAGAACGGCCATTTTGATAGATTGTTAAAATACACCAATTGTTTTGAGACAATTTGTTTTTAAAAAATTATCATTCCCACACCAAATTGCCTTTCCACCTTTATCAAAAACTCCGTGACCATATCGATGTAACTTCCTTGTGAACACAGGTTACTTGCATTAGATACAAAAAGTATGAGCTCTACAAGAAAAAGTTACTCAAAATTTAAGACATTTTGCTCTTTTTAAAGTCACTAGCTCAGGGCCTCCCTGGTGGCACAGGGGTTAAAGACTCAGCACTGTCAAGCTGTCTCCAGCCACTGTGGCAAGAGCTCAATGCCCAGCCAGGGAGGGACCCACACAGCACAGCAGACCTCTCCTGTCTCCCCGCTGCTCCCTTCAGCAGTGTGTTCCAGTAGATCCACCTGTTCTGCTCCCCACTCTGTCTCTGGGGGGTCCTCCCACATACCCCCTCCCCCATACTACCGGCCTACACCCCAGTTCTTGTATACATAAATAAATACAGCTTTTTTTTTTTAAAGATTTATTTATTTATGCATACAGAACTGGGGTACAAGCCAGAGGCTCGGGCACCGAGAGGTTTCACCATAGACAGAGCAGGGAGCAGAATAGGCAGATCGATGAAGGGCACTGCTGAGGGGAGCAGCGGGCGGGTCAGCAGAGGTCTACCACGCCATATGGTCACCTCTGAGGCAGGGGGGAATCGAACTCATGCGGAAGTGGCTTTAGCTTCTCAGTGCGGTGCTTTAACCCGCTGCGCCACCAGGAAGTGCCATAGCTTTTTTTTTTTTAAGTTACCTCTTCAGCAAAGTCAGCAGGAAAATACAATATTGATGGCTTCACTTATATGTGGAATATAGATAAATCAAAGTGTCAGAAAAACAAAACTTGCAAGCTGGCCATGGATCTGAGACCTACAGGGGATGGAGACGCTTACCAGGAGGAAGGAGAGCGCACAGGGACTGTGGTGGAGGGTCAGAGGGGCCTGGTGGTGGGAGAACTACGGCCGCACCAAGGGGAGAAATAAATGCTACTCAAAATTAACAAAATGTAAGAAAATTAGTTTAAAAAGCTCCTTATTCAGCATCTCATTCCCCACCATGGGATGGTCCAGGCGGCTCTGCCATATTCCCAGGGACAGAGCGGCAGGACCTTCCTGCCTGGGAAGGTGAATGGAGCCATCTCAGCAGGACCCACCCATGGAGGCAACCCCACCCCTTGCCCACCTGACCCCACTAGGTATCTGGCCTCAAGGCTTCCCCTGCCTCCCTCAGGTGGACTAAAACAGGGGGGGGGGGGGAGCATGCTGACCACTGTGAGCCGCGGGCACCCCAGAGCTCAGACCGCTAGCGGCAGCGAAGGCTGGGAAAACTACTTGGGCACGTGCTTTCCCTCCCAGCTTCCGAGGCAAATTCAGAAGGCTCAGGAAGGAGGAGGAGCGGGCATGAGAAGAGAAACCGGCCATCACGGGCCTCCCTAGATTTGCACACTACCCAGATGTCAGGTTGGTTCTCGGGGTGCCCTCGGGCAGCTTCGCAGAAGGGTGGAAGCTGAGAGAGTCACAGAGCCAAGGCGCCTGCCTTGCAATACACCCTCTGCTGTCCCAACCAGCCCAGCAGGAGGAACTTACCAGTCCCCACTCGTGTCCAGTAACTATGAACTGTCCCTGCGTGCTGAAGGAGGAAGTGACCCAGAACAGGGAGCTTTAAAGTAGTTGCTGTCGACTGCTTTGATTACATTAAGCCTGAAGAGTGGATATGAAGGTTGCGTTTTTATTCAGGCGCCTGAATCCATGAAGGTTTGATATTACTGGCCCCCAAGTTAGGGGGGGTTGGGGAAGGAACCCTAGCCGCCAGCCAACGATGGTAGCTTGTTCTGGTCACTATTTTATCAGCGATCCCCTCGGGACTCGAAACAGGACTTAGTTCTGGCAGCGTGCGGGTTTCACCAACACCTACCTGACTCAGGTAAAGCTTCGCTTTGTAGCCGTCGCGTGGCCACGAGGGCGTTTCCTACGCGCTCCGGTAGGGGGCGCGATAGCACAGGTCTCGGCTTCCTCTCCCCGCGGCGCGCCAGGCTATGCAGAACTTTCCACTTTCCTGCGCCCTTCGTTGGATTCCTCCAGGCCTTGAGGACGGTAGGCACCCTCGCAGTGTCGAGGGGGGTCACTTGGGTCCCTGTCCTTCTGCAGAATGGGGGAGATGGAGGTGGGGTGGGAGCTGGGTACCCAGGGCCGCAGCCTCAGGTGTGTGTTGGTGGGGGAGGGATGCTGACTCACCGGAGAGGGCCTGGCCAGCCTGAAGGCAGCCTGTTGTGGTCACTGTTTGTTATCAGAGATCCCCTCAGGGCTGGAAACTCTACTAGGATTGCAAGATCTCCAGTTTTGCTGGTGGCGTGGGTTCTGCTGTTGGGGGGTGCCCCTGGGGGTATTGGGGTCCCTCAGGTCGGGCTCCCTCCTTGCTGGGGTCCTGGGCCTGTGTCTCTAGCGCTGTGGGATCAGGCCACAGGCTGCGAGCTGCCTTTCCTTCCTGGGGGTCGTTGGCCAGGTTTGTGGGAACACCCTGCTTCCACCACCTCTAGGAGTCCCGATGCACCTGCCCTCGGACTCCAGACACCTGGCCCTCCCAGGTATCCAGGTGTGAGAAGCAGAGGCGCCTTGGTTGAGTTCTGCTTTCCCACTGGTTGCAGATTCAAGGGGAGCGCAAAGGGGCGTCTCATGTCGCCAGGGAGCTGCTGTCACCCTGGACATGGCAAGGTCTTACCTGCCCACCAGGTGAAGGGTTCGGGGCCATAATGATGCAAACGTCCATGCGCATATTCATCGGGGATGATGCACAGCTGTTCTCACTTCTCAGGCCTGGAGGGGTCCTGGTCTCCCTTTGGCCTCGTGAGGCTCCTTTCTAACTCCCACCCCACCTGCAGGCTGGGACCCCCCTTCTTCACAGCGGCCTTTGACATTTTCTGTCAGTTTGGTTACACCGACTCTGGAGTGGAATCTCTGCATGTCCCTTGGTGATGAGTGTTGTGGGACATTTTTTCATGGATGGCTTTGGAGAAATGTCTGTTTGGCTCTGTTGTTGTTTTCTAGCCGGGTTATTGATGTGTGAGTTGTTTCTGGTTATTGATGTGTGAGTTGTTTCTGGTTATTGATGTGTGAGTTGTTTCTGGTTATTGATGTGTGAGTTGTTTCTGGCGTAGCCATGCCTTGACCTTGTCTACCCTCCCGCGTCTCCGTTTTGGTCTTTGTTAGCTGGAGTGGGTTTCTCTTGGGATCAAGCATCCCGGCTGGCATATCAGTCTGCCTGTGCTTCCGCGGAGGGGTGCTCAGGTGGTTCCAGGCCATCAGCAGACACCAGCCCTGTCTGTGTGCAACACGGTTCTGTCTCCAGGACACAGAGGGTGGAAATTCTGGACTTGGTTCCTGGGTGTAAACATGCTGCTGTCCTTGGCATCATAGATTCGGTCTGTGGGGCCCGAGGGACACCCCAGAAGGCAACCTCTGTTGTGGCTAAGTCCGAGGCTGGCGGTGGTGAAGGGTTCCCCTGCCCTGTTGAGGGCTGTCTGAGCCCCAGGCCTGTCAACCACTTCCCAATAAAAAGTGATTTGCAAAGCTTTGTACATTTCGGTATACCCTCACTGCCACACGTTAAGATGCCTCACCCCAACCCCCAGTGCTAGCCCCCAACCTCTCCGGGGTGCTACTGTCTGGCCGTCACTCTTGAGCTTTTCTTGGAGTCTAAATTATCTAGCAAATTGCTAGATAATTTGCCCGAACCGGTTTCATCCTTCTTCCTTTGACTTGAGGGAAACTGAGTCAAAGCCGTCACATCATTCTCACCAGAGAAACAACTCAAGGGCCTGAGACACCCCTTCCCACAACGCCCTCCCCCTCCCAGGGGGATCACAAACCTGGGGATGAGGAAAGGCTGGGGGCAGGAGGGGTGACGTCAGGACACGACCCCTGCGACCCCTCCTCTGAAATGCTGCCGGCCTGGACAAGGCCGGAGATGAGGAGCTGAGCCGGGGCCTGGCGCGGACTCGGCCCATGGCCCCTGAGGCAACGGGCTTCCGAAGGTGCCCGGACCAGTGGCCACCTTGCGCCATGCAGGGAACCCGAGTCTGCAACGGATGCATCCTGGAGGCCCAGGTCTGAGGTGATGGTGGGGTGGAGGCTGCGGGCCTGGTCCTGCCTTGGGAGACAGCAGCGGGGTGTGGGAGGCAGCGGGTTTGGGCGAAGTCGCTCTGGCCTCATCTGTGCCAGAGCAGCTGGGGTGGCAGCGGCAGGGAAAATGAAGCTGGATGGGCAGAAGCAGCGGCCCAGGAGATGGGGCTTTCTGGAGACGTGGCCCTGGCCGGCAGGGCTGTCTGCCCAAGGACTCCTCCAGAAAGGTCCACGCCTTCCACTTTGCACCAAGGTCCAGGCTCTGGCGTCCGTATCCTCTGGGTGAATGGTGGCACCTATCGACTTGGGTCCTTGAGAAAGGGGGGCCCAGGCCTTGCGGGAGGAGGTCAGGTTCTGAGGCAGTGGTTCTCAAACTTTGGGCTCGGGACACACTTTATATTCTCGAAAATTATTGT